AAGAAAGCTTGGCCCGGGAGGATGGTAGTATTAGCATGAAACTTCACATGGGAAGATAAAGTGTATACAAGAGAACAACATTCCCCCTGTGTGCAGATACTGGTTGGATTTAATCATCCCAGCACAGTGCTATGGGTTATTATATCTGACCCGCAGCAGGGACGCTCACCTCCTCACCAATATCTTCGAATGCTTCAAGGAGATGAAGACAGTCCAGAATACCTCTGTCAGTCCCAGGGCAAATGTCTGCAGACAAGCACAGCCATCATCTCCGTAGCCCCAGTTATCTTATCCCAAGAAGAGGAGGCACTAAAATAAGAACCGTGCTCTGGAGAGCAGAACGTGCCCGATTGCAAAGACCAGATGCACCATTCAGGTCTCCCAGCTTCTTTGTCGATTACTTCACCAGCTCCACGGGAATCAACTCTGTGTAAACTCCTCAAAGCAGTTAAGAGCTTACAGGTGCTGCTGTCTGACAATGCCCATCCAGCATGGACATCAAACTGGACCCACGATGTGCCCTATAAAGTCATATTGAAGCTGGCACTGCCTATAAGCCAACCTCATACATAAGCAGCCCCTGCTTATTTCAATGAAGTCCTTAAAGCCCAGTGAACCATCTCTAAACTGTCTTTTTTTTATGAATAAAGGCAGGCCCAGAGGGCTACCAAAGACCTGCAGCCCCGCCAAGGAAGTCCAGTGGTTGTACAGTACGTGATGCTGGGAGCCCGACAATGCATGAGGAGCTGGGTGGGAAATCAGAGGTCAAAAGTGGTGTTGCAACTGAGGCGTACTTTTACTGGCTCACATACGAGTAGATATGCCAGCTCAGTGGTTCTCCAATCACGTTCTTTGGACTATCAGTGATCTGTGCAGCCCTGCCTGGAAGTCTGCAGAGTGAACCCAGATATGAAGATGGCTCCACATTGGCTGCCTCCTCATCTGACTGGATACATCCTGCGGCCAACAGGAAGCTCCGCTTTGCTGCAGCCAGCGGGGCTCTGATCCAAGGGTGCATTTGCCATGTGACTTCTGCTGGCTGGGAGATGTGGAGCTGGTCCAGCAGCACTTGCATCTTAGTGACTGGTCATCTGAACAGCCACCAGGTGGCAGCGCATAGACAGGGACTACAAGGAGTCCGGTGGCACCTTAAAGACTAACAGATTTATTTGGGCATAAGCGTTCATGGGTAAAAACCTCACTTCTTCAGATGCACAGAGACTCTCTATGCATAAATCTCCCAGATTTAGCCACAAGAAATTAATTGGTAGCCCAAAAAGTCGTCAAGAATTTTTGTCACCCAGGCTTTTCAAAAGTAGAACTATTGGAGAAAAATTACCAAGATTGGCAACATCAGGCGCAGACTGACAGAACTGGAGAAGCACTGGGATACACAACACAAAATGCCACCTAGTGGCTGTTGTTGGCCATTGCAGATTTACAATTCATTTTGCATTCAGAAAGTTGAAATTGGGGAGTAGGGGAGTCAGCATGTGTGTATGCAAACATGCCCTGGAACCGCAGTCCTGGCACTCCATCATTTGCATGTGCCATTGATTAGCTCAACATCACTAATTTACAGTTAAACCCTCCTCCTGCCGCTCAGAGACTACATCTGACATGGCTGCAACTACTGGCCTGCACACATCAGGGGAGGAGGACATTGCCCATTCAAGCGCCTCAAGATCCAGACCTCAACGCTGCACACTTCAATGAGAACATGAATTGTCAGGCAGAGAGCACTTGGGAATGAGGTGCAATCGCAGTCCTGAATGCGTGTGCTGAGAAGGGAAGGTTCAGGTCAGCTTAAATTGATGTAATAGCTCCGTGCTGTTCACCCAGGAACAACTTATCCCCAGGGTTCTAGGGAGGACGACCGAGGGTGTCAAACCCACAGGACTTCCTGCTTCTCTCTTTGCTGCATAGCATGACCGCTTCGAAGTTCATGGCAGCAGATGAGATAGAACTCAAATTCTCCTGCTCTAAAAGCACAAGGCCCCCACCACCTGAGCGAAAAGAGAATCATCAGAGGCTGTGTCTGGTATAGGGCCTAGGACACACAATTAAACAGTTCTGGTACCATCCAGTAGAATGTGGTGGTACAACTACACACCAGCCAGTTCATTTCAGTACAATGAAGAGGATAAAATAACCTGCCAAAACGATTTACCCAGCAGGGAATAATGACCCAGTATTTTATCACCGTCATGTAGTAACTTCACACACCCAACCTTCTCCATATGAGAACGTGAACGGAGGATTACAGAAATACATGGAACAAGGTTCATCAGTTTCAGTCCCCTGGGGGGTCATTTTGCCTGGAATGTCCCCAAAATAAAGAAGGTCTTAGACAAAGCTACGAAATCCAGCTCTGCTCCCCTATCTGAGGCGTGGAATCATGCAGTAGACTTTTGAGGCATCGCTGAAACTCAGCACAAGCCTGAAAACTGGCGATTTGGATGGGATTTGTGGTGAAAGACTCTCACAGCACTGTCCCAGCATATCGTACTAAATCAGGGGCCTTCAGCACAAAGATCAGTATGATGAAGAATTAGACTGAAACCACCACATCTCATTTCACATGAGCCACGGACCATGCAATCTGCTTTTAAACCAGGCTTTCCTGGGCCTGAGAATGGCAGTGTGGACTGCAATGGTGTTCAGAAGGCTGATATTAAAACAGTAGCCTGGAGGACCTGAATTCAACTTCTGGCTCTGCCGCAAACTCCCCGTGTAACCTTGGGTATACCATTTCCCCTCTCTGTGCCTCATTACCCCACCTGTGTTTCCTTACCCCACAGGGTGTTGGGAGGATAAACATATTAATGATGGAGAGGGCAGATATGTCCCTAGATAGAAGGGGGAAAGTGTTTGTAAATCCAAGCACTCGTCAAGAAAAGGGAGATTTTTCAAACAAAAGCTTGTGTCTAAAGAAAGAACTCCACGCAGATCACTACCAGCCTCTCTCTGCTGAATAGCCTGAGAAAGGCTTTGACGGCAGCACAGACTCTGGGAAGAGCAAAGGCTCAGGCAAGCGGCGCAAACAAGCATTTGTGGCAGAAAAAAAGAAAAGATGAAAACGTGTCTGAGAAGGGTCTGAAGGAGGAAGTTCTCTCTCTCCTCCCAGCCCCTTAGTGCCTATTCTTTCCCTCACCTCATTTCTTTAGTTAAGTCCCTTCAAATACCTTGTCTCCTTGGCATTTGGGGAGCTGGGTTCTTCCTCCTTAACTGAAATGCTGCCTCCGGGCCTTGCTTGTGAATTTCACCCAGTCTGACAAAGTGGTTGGTCTAGTTTAAAACAAGGCTAAGGCTAGAATGGTGTGGTGGGTTTTACAGGAATAAAGTGACTGTCCCGTGTCCCTGTAAGGTGCAGCAGAGGAAAGATTAACCATAAAGGCCCTGCAACAATAAAGATGGCTTTCCCAGTCACACAGCAGCTGTGGCATCGAAGGCGAAGACTTCCTGGGTTTCGAGCTCTGCTGCTGGAAGTTCGCAGCACAGAAACTCCACAGTGGGGGCTTACCTGCTCAGGTGAGCTGTTGCAGGAATCTCGCTCTCTCGCTGCCAGCCAGTCAGGGAAGGATTCAGATCGGATTTCAGGTAGACCGACCAGGAAGTTCAGCTGTTGCTGACTGAGAGAAGCCGGGTTGGTGCTATTGTCCGTTTAGACACCCCAAAGCCAGCGAGGGGCGTTTGTCCTTCTCTCACTCTGTCTTTAGGGCTCTGGGGATTTGTCGGCTCATGCAGCTGCTACGTGAAAACGTTTTCTAAATGGACAGGGTAGGACTTGGGTGCAGCTGGTTTCCCTCTGTTTACCTTAGAAGGAGTGGCCGCTTTGTGAGTGCTGCACACACCCCGCCCGTAGCAGAGGAGATGCTGGACATGTGTCCCATGGATCAGTCAGTATATGCTAGTCACCCTGCCCTGCGCGCAAGCCACAGAAGGTAAGAGTTTGTCACAGCCCCAGCTACGCAGTCCAAGCAGCAGAGACTTGGATTTTAGTTCTAGAGGCTGACATTACAGCAGGCAGGATGGGGACAGCACACTTCCTGGGATTGGCAGCCATCACAAACTCCCCAGGTGACATTTGCCACAGCACTTAAGTGCCATTTTCAACAGTGGCTTTAGGCATGTCGGCACCTAACTCTCATTGAAAGTCAATGGGGCTCAGGGGGTAACGATTTCAAGAAGTGCCTAAGTCCCTTCTGAAAATGGGCTCTAGACTCATTTAGTCACTTCTACACACGTTACCCTTCCTCCGGCGTTTTCCGCTGTGGTATTTTACTGTGCATTTCAAACAGACACAGGCCTGAAAGGAAACCCTGGGTCCAAACGCCCCCAAAGTGCAAGGGGATTTGGAATCCAGCCAAAGGGGTTTGTTTCCTACCAGGCCCCAAAGCTCTTCCTCGGAAATACAGACGGGGGAGGGGACAACATACAAAGCAAAACACCTGGAAAGGTCCTGAAATTTTATCCAAGCAGAATTCTGCTCCCTGGCTCAGCTGTGTCAACAGTCATAAATGCATCAATAAAGCAGCCCCATTTGTTGTCCTCACTAGGCGCTGCACATCCACTTAAAGTGCCAGCCCTACTTAGCTGGTCCCCGGTCTGGGAGGAGGATGGTACAAGGTGGGGTTGCGGACAGCCAGGTGCTCTGCTAGGAGAGAGACTGGACAGATGAGTGGAGCTGGTTGAAACATTTAGAAATGTTGATGGAAAAAATACAGGTCAAAATTGTCACAAAACTTTCATCAACATTTCATTATTTTTTTAAAACCAGCTCTGTGGTTGGTTGAAAACTCTGAAGTTTCAAAATTTCTTATCAAAATTGCACATTTCAGTTAAAAAATGAGTGACATTTTACAAACATTTTTAGGAAAGATTCATCCTGTTTTTCACCCAGCTCCACCTACACCAAGGTCTAACAAGATCAGAAGGCTGGAAGCTAAAGCTAGACACATTCTGAACAGAGAGAGTAATTAATCACGGGAACAACTTACCAAGCGCTGTAGTGGATTTCGATTATGGGCAATTTTGAAATCAAGCCTCAATGTTTTTCTAAAAGGCTTGCTCTCGTTTAAGCAGAGTAATTGAATTGAAAGCAGGAGTTAATACAGGGAAGTCCCATGGATTGTGTTATGCAGGAAGTCAGACTAGATGATCATAATGGTCTCTTCTGGCCTTAAAAATCTATGAATATAGGTAGGTCCACACGATTCCAGCCAGTAAAGAGCAGAGGTACAGATGCAGAGACCTTCCCGCTTTGTGTGTTCGGAAAGCACCCGGTGAGACCTCCCATAATGAAGCAATAATAATTATAACGGGTCAGTGTTTGTGGGCATTGCAGGGGAAGTGAGTCCCTAGGAGGGATCTGAAAGGGTGTGGCACATCGGCACCGACAGGTCATCCCAGGTGCGGGGAACAACAAGATGGAACATGGAGAAGGGAACGAAGGGAGAACTGCGCCTGGAATTGCTGGTGGTGTTGGGAAGGGAGAGGAAAACAGCAGAATGAGATCCAAGAGACAGGCCGGTCCAGGGTTGTGCGGAGCCTTGAGGGACAAGGAG